TAAAAGAGATTTTTAAGAAACGTATCAATAAAGTATAATGTGTAGACTTAATTGGAATTCTGATTCAAACTAACTGCAATCATATACATTTGTGCCATTTGTGAGACAATCTGAAATTTGAATAATGCCTGGACATTTGATTATATTAAGTAATTACTATTAAACAACTTGAGTTTGATAAAAGACCCCTTATTTTTTAGAAATCATAATGAAAATTTTTTTTTTTAAGATTTTATTTTTCCTTTTTCTCCCAAAGGCCCCCCCGGTACACAGTTGTGTATTTTTAGTTGTGGGTCCTTCTGGTTGTGGCACGTGGGATGCCGCCTCAGCATGGCTTGATGAGCAGTGCCATGTCCACACCCAGGATTCGAACCAGGGAAACCCTGGGCTGCCAAAGCAGAGCACACGAACTTAACCACTCGGCCATGGGGCCAGCCTCGAAATACTTAAAGCTGAAATGATACAATGCCTGAGATTTGTTTCATCATAATAGGGAGAGAGGAAAGTAAATGGGGGATAAATGATACAAGATCGCCCATAAATGTATAATTGTTGAACCTGGTGATGGGTACATTAGGTTCATTATACTACTCTGTCTACCTTTCTTATATATTTAAAGTTTTCCATTTAAAAAAAAAGTTTAAAAAAAATAGAGGATGAAGAAAACTTTCAGAGGAAGAAAGTGAGAAAAGAGTCACCAACAAAGGAGCACAAATCAGAACGGCATCAGGTCTCTCAACAGCAACAGAAGAGACTGGGAATCAGTGAGTCAAGGCCTTCGAAATCTGAGAGGAAATGTCTTTCAACCTAAAATTCTATCTTCAGCGAAATTATATCTACCCTAATACCTTATTGATAAAAACATGTTCAAACATGCAAGATAACATAAAATTTAGCTCCCATACACCCTTTCTTTAGAAACCACTAGACCTTGTATTCCATTGAAACAAGGGAGGCATGGGACCTAGGAAACGGGATCCAACAGAGGGTAAGGATGTCCTGGGATGATGGCTGTGTCATAGGCCTAGAGAGACATGGAGGAGATGGGGCAGGAGAAAGAGAGGCCCAGAAGCATGTGATAATTTTTTGAGGACAGAGCCTGTAAATTTGCCAAATGGGACTCTGTCAAGGTTTTATAAATTTACGCTCCTACTAGCAAGGTATGGGAAGTTTTAACACCACCCTCACCAACACTGGGTACTATCGCTGTCTTTAATCTTAGTATTACAAGTGTTATAGTCTTTCTTACATCATGACGAGGTTAAACATTTTTCATGTGTTTGTTGTCCGTCTGAAATTTTTCTTTCAGGAACAACAAAAGACCTCGAATAGCCAAAGGACTCCTGAGAAAATAGAACAAAGCTGGAGGTATCACACTCCCTGATTTCAAATTATACTACAAAGCCATAGTAACCAAAACAGCATGGTACTGGCACAAAAATAGACACACAGCTCAATGGAACAGAATTGAGAGCCCAGAATTAAACCCACACACTTATGGACAGCTAATATTCGACAAGGGAGCCAAGAGCATACGATGGAGAAAGGAGAGTCTCTTCAATAAATGGTGTTGGGAAAACTGGACAGCCACATGCAAAAGAATGAAAGTACACCATTCCCTTCACCATGCACAAAAATCAACTCAAAATGGATTAAAGACTTGAATGTAAGACCCGAAACCATGAGACTTCTAGAAGAAAAGATAGACAGTACGCTCTATGACATCGGCCTGAGCAGCATATTTTCAAGTCCCATGTCTGACCGGGCAAGGGAAACAAAAGAAAAAATGAACAAATGGGACTACATCAAACTAAAAAGCTTCTGCACAGCAAAGGAAACCATCAACAAAACGAAAAGACAACCTAACAATTGGGAGAAGATATTTGCAAACCATATATCAGATAAGGGGTTAATATCCAAAATATACAAAGATCTCATACAGCTCAACAACAAAAAAACCAACAATCCAATTAGAAAATGGGCAAAAGATCTGAACAGAGATTTCTCCAAAGAAGATATACAGATGGCCAACAGGCATATGAAAAGATGCTCAACATCATTAGCTATCAGGGAAATGCAAATCAAAACTACAATGAGGTATCACCTCACTCTGGTCAGAATGGCTATAATTAACAAGACAGGAAACAACAAATGTTGGAGAGGGTGTGGAGAGAAGGGGACCCTTGTTCACTGCTGGTGACAGTGCAAACTGGTGTACCCACTATGGAAAGCAGTATGGAGTATCCTCAGAAAATTAAGGATAGATCTACCATATGATCCAGCTATTCCACTGCTGGGTATTTATCCAAAGAACTTGAAAACACAAAGGCATAAAGATACTTGCACCCCTATGTTCACTGCAGCATTATACATAATAGCCAAGATATGGAAGCAACCTAGGTGCCCATCAAGGGACGAATGGATAAAGAAGATGTGGTATTTATACATGATGGACTACTACTCAGCCATAAGAAATGACGAAATCCGGCCATTTGTGACAACATGGATGGACCTTGAGGGTATTATGCTGAGTGAAATAAGTCAGAGGGAGAAAGTCAAATACCATATGATCTCATTCATAAGTAGAAGATAAAAACGACAAAAAAAAAACACATATCATTGGAGATTGGATTGGTGGTTACCATTGGGGAAGGGGGGAGGGGAGAGGGCAAAAGGGGTGATTAGGCTCACATGTGAGGGGATGGACTATAATTAGTTTTCGGGTGGTGAACATGATGTAATGTACACAAAATTCAAAATATGATGTATATCCGAAAAAAATAAAATAAATTTTAAAAAATTTTCTTTCATATCATATCTTCTTTGATGTCCTTGGTATATTTTTTTTATAAAGGTTTTCCCCTTTTCCTTACCAAAGAGTAGGGGATTTAGATATAGAGATAAGACAGACATGGAAATAAAGATATATTTACCCTTTCCTGTAAATATTTGTCTCATTAGGTTGTCTTTTTATTTTATTTGAAGTAGGGGTTTTACTTATGTACGACTTTAATTTTTCAGAGTCAAAGCTATAAATCTATTCCTTTATGATTTTGTCCCTCTGCTTTAATGATTAGTAATAAGTCATACTGCACTCAGATCACAGAAAAATATTAATCTAAATTTTCTTCTTCTTAGTTTATCATTGCTTTAATGTTCCATTCTCTTTAATCCACTGGAATTTATTTTAGAATATAAGATAGGAATCTAATTTTACCTTGTCCCAAATAGTTAGGCAATTGTTTCAACACAATTCTCTGAATAGTCTTTCCCATCTTCACTGATTTAAAACTATATTTTACTATACTAAATTTTTATATATAGTCTCCTACTGGCCTTTCAGTTCCATCTCATAGAAAGTCTGGTCTTAGAATTATTGTACTTTCTGGCCACTCAACAATCTTGTCCTCTTATTTTTGGTACCAACACCGTGATTTTCTCTATAAGAATTTTTTTTTTTAGTAGAAATGAGAGAGATTTATTTGCAGCAAGTTACCTCTTTCAATCACATGTTCTCTTTCTGGGATTTGAATCCTGAGTAAAGTTACAAAAACAATGAAAATTATTGGTACCAATTCATCCCACTTCATCCATCATTTGTGCTCCTAAGACCTCTGGAGATGCTCTGGGAGTCACAGGCTTTCTGAGTCTGACTCCTCAGTGTTCCTCCTGATTCTGTGACTATGATTCCCATATTCTTTCACCAAATTCCCACTTTAAGTTAACCAAAGTTGGTTTCTGTTGCATACAATCAAAAAACCGCAAATGGCACTTCACTGAATCTTCACAGTGTGTATGAACTTCTGGTATAACAAGTCTCCAGTCATTACTCTTATCAAAATGTATTAGAGACTTGCATCCGGCTCTTTAGTCTTCCACATGAATTTCAGAGTCTGTCTTCCCAAAGTAATTCCATTGAATTTTTTATTGGAACTGCTTAAACCCATAGTATCATCTAGGGAAAATTCACTATCTTTACAGTGTTGTGTTCCCAAAATGTCTCACCATTTTCTTATAAGACTCTCAGGTAAATTTCATAATTTTTAATGTATTTGTTGTTAATTGTATTCCTATTTTGTCACTATGGTGAAGAAAACTTATTTGTATTTTATTCTCTGATTATTGCGGGTATGTAAGAATGTAAGCATAATTGTTATATACTATTTTCTTCCTGGCCTCCTTATTGAATGTTCTTGCTTGTGTCAATAATTTCAAAGTTGATTTTCTTAAGTATCCAGAGTTATAAGCATATCATCTGAACACAATAAGAATCATACAGCTCTCCTTCCAAAAATTATCATTCTCATTGCTGTTCTTGCCTTTACGTATATCTTTGGCTAAAATTCTCAGAACAATGTTAAATGACAGCAGTGAGTCTAACAAAACCACCTCTAGCATTTTATCATTCAATTCTCTTTATACATGTTTATTTACCTAATAACAATTACAAATTATGTTTAGAACAAAACTTCATCTATTAGAATACTTAATTTTCCATAAAGCAAAAGGAAATTTTAAAAACAATTAAACTGGAATTCTCTTAAGATTAATTAAAGTGATTATCAGTATCACTGCCTCATAAAAATCATATTTTTCATTTGTAAACTGATGCTCCTTCCCCATCTGAAGTCTTACCTTTTCTGAAAAGCATTCCACAAAACCATACAGCTACTATACATGATTCAAACTGCAAAACTAGAACTGAATGTTATGTGTATAAAATCCTTTCCTGTGTTACTTCCTCAACCTTATAATGTAAACAATTACCCTCAAACTTTCCAAATATTCCATGAGAAGTAATTGTGAAAAATGGATAGATTTTAAAAATTAGGAGCAAAATAAAATTTACTGTGATACAAAATTTTTCAAAGAAGCCAAATATTCAATAAAAATAAATGCAAAAAAATAGCTTTATATTTTATTGCAGAGTAAAACTTTCTCTGACCTCAAATTACTGACTGGGTAACATATATATCTTATAAAAGAATGAGAAAATATACCTCAAATTCTTTTCTAAGACGTTCCTCTCGTTGAGTACTAAATTCAAGCTCATTTGTTTGTCGCCGTAAAAGGTCAGAGCAGTCCATGTGTTCAGCTTCTAATTTTTCTACTTTCTTGTGCATACTTTGTACAGCATTATCTTGCTCCTAGAAAATAATTCATTTTTGCATCAATCAAGTGTATAAGCCCACAATGACTAAAATGTATTCTACAGAAGGAAGTGAGTGAGTAAATCTGTGCTTCAACCATAATAATAGGTTAATTTATATAGGAAAGAGGGAACTAGATATTTTCCAGCAACATTTCAGAATATAACATTTCAGAATAAAAAGCACTACTGGAGTTATATAATTTAAAACATCTTATTAATACATATTACAATGGAAAAATGTGTATAGCTTACGACAATGTTATGCTAGTTCAATTAGGGTATGTACAGAATGCTGTAGTTCAACTGCCAGACGTAATGTTTCCCTTCTCATTAAAATTTTAAGGTATTTAGTAATACACATGTATAGTGCTCCTTTGTGTGATAAGGAGTGATTAGCTTGAATGCCTAATAATGACCCTTGAGAGATTTTTATATGAGCTCATGGTACTTTATGCTTATAGCTCTTAAAGTTGCATCCACTAGATGGCTATGTTTCATTTCCTCTTCAGTTTTCAAATCTTTGCTGCACTATTGAAAGAAAAATAACCTCAGGTGATCTTCTACTGAAGTCTCTCAATCTCTTTTTCCAACTAAACTCAGAAATCAGAGTTGAATTTTATCGTTCAAACACAAAGTTAACAGACATATCAAAGATATTTCCACAGTAACTAATCTAGATTCATCATTCTCATTTAGGGTCTTTCACAAAGCCCTCTTTCCCACCTTTTCCTCACCAGCATCATCTTATTCTGGGACATAAACACATATGTATTTATACATGCTTCCAATATAAATAGCCACTCAGAAGGTATCATCAGAATCTGAATGAGACTATTGCAAGCACCAAATATAATTCTCTATAAAAAGATTCTAGTATGAAAAGTACCCAGCAGTATAGTCCACAGTCAAAGGGTGAAGAACAAAAATCAATTTAATTCTTCTCTCCATATCCCTCATTCACAAGATTACTATTTTGTAGCTGACTACAAATGAACTCTTAAGAACTATTTTCTTCAGGTAATAGCAATTTCTTAATATACAGAAGTTCATCTACTTACACATTGTCAATCTTTAAGTAATCATAGATAAGAGCAAAGCTGAGTACTAGAGCAAAAGTGTGCCAACACTCCTGCAACCAGCAGATAGCACTTGCAGTTTTTATAGTGACACTCTGGATTTGGGAACAAATGGTATTATGAACAGCCTTACGTAAAGTAATTTCATCATAAGAGTACCTTCACATATGAAAGGAAATTGGGTTTGGTTCAGCTTTATTTTTGTTTTTGGTGAGGAAGATTGACCCTGAGCTAACATCTGTTGCCAATCTTCCTCTTTTTACTTGAGGAAGATTGTTGCTGAACTAACATCTGTGTCAATCTTCCTCCACTTTGCCTGTGGGATACTGCCACAGCATGGCTTGATGAGCGGTGTGTAGGTCCATGCCTGGGATCTGAACCCACAAACCCCGGGGCGCCAAAGTGAGAACACGCAAACTCAACCACTGTGCCATTGGGTCAGCCCTCATGAAAGGACTTTTAAGACCATTAAATACTGTATAAGATACTATTATTATTCTACATGATAGGTCTCCCTCCCGTAAGCAGTTAATATTACATCTATTAATTCAAATTCACTGTTACATTATATGCCTTCTTGACTTACAAATACATAATCTCCAACTTTCAATCCTTCACTTAGAGTACGCTGTATATATTTAAATGAATAAACAATAATTTACAAGGTTAATCACAAAGTAAAACCCAATAACTTAAAACAAAAACAAAATAAAGTCCATAACCAAAAGATGCTTGTATCCTAGTTGATGGCAGTTATTTCAAACAATATTTATTAAATAAAGCAAAAGAAATTAAAGTATTCAGGAAGTCTCATGAGATTTATTTACAAGAAAATATGACTTGTGATTCCCATTCGATTGATAAATAGTATAAAAAGACAACATACAATCATTCCAAATACCAAGACCCCAAACAGAGCATGCCCATCGTTCCATGCGAGTTTGAGTTTAATCCTATAAAAAAGAACAGCTGGAAAATCAACGGCTGATCAGTTAGGGCTTACTATGTTTATCTTGGTGAGATTCTAACTTTATGATACTTGACCCATATTAAATATTATTTATCAAATAGTTTTTAAATAAAAGTCCTTCAAGATGTAGATGAAACTCTGACCCAACAATCACAGTTCAAATGCAGAGGTCAAGTACTCATTAATATTATGTGATAATTACTACACATTCTTGGATATGGATATAAACACATACACACAGTTTTTACAGAAAAAAACTGCTTTCCTCAAATAGTGTACATTCTTAGGAATTTTATTCACATATCCAAGAAACTTATACTGCATAATTAAGTTAACTGATTACATAATTAAAAATTACACTGATTTTCTAATGTTAAACTCACTTGGAATTTATTGCATAAAGGCTTTTTATATTATCCTTTTAATATTTTGCTGCATTCAGTTGGCTAATATTTTGTATAACATTTCTGCATTCATATTCATGAGGGAGATTGGCTATAATTATCTTTTCTTGTGTCCTTGTCAGTTTAATAGCAAGATTTGTCAGTTTGGTATGTTATCAAAATTTTTTCATTCTCTGGCAGAGTCTATATAAGACTGAAACTATTCGCTTCTTGAATGTTTCTTTTTATTCATTGGTGAAGCAATATGGGCCTGGAATTCTGACTCGATCAGGTTTTCCACTCTCTATCTCTTCTCAAGTTAGTCGAGGGAGGCAGAAGGAATATATACATATCTGTTGTAAATATCCAGCCAGACAATCCTACAGCAAAAATCATGGTAGGAAGAGGTAACCCAAACACTCAGAGCTTCTAATAAGCTTTTTAGTCCCCCACTCTTAAACATAAGAAAAGGTGATATTTGAAAAAATTCTCCAACATAAAAGATGACACCTAAGTCAAATGGGGAGGGGAAAAAAACAACCTGAGAGAAACATACATAAAGAGAAGAAACCTTCAAGATCTTCAGAGAACATAAGCAGTTCCAGAATGGCAGAGTTAAGGACCACGAAAAATTCTTTCCTCCATAAAGCAACAAGAACACTGGCAAAAAATGTCAAAATCAAATTTTTCCTAACTGGAAATTAACCAAAGGCTTGCAATAATCCAAGAAGCATTTATTCAAGAAAATCAGTTGAATCTCGATAAGAATGGCAAGCTTTGTGACATTTTAACTTGCCCAATCCCATACCCCATTACCCCAGCTCCTGATAGCCTTGAAAATCAACAGCCTCAATACAACAGCCAAGACACAGAAACAACTTAAGCGTCCATCAATGGATGAATGGATAAAGAAAATGTGGTGTAGGGGCCAGCTTGGTGGTGTAACAGTTAAGTTTGGCACACTCTACTTTGGCAGCCTGGCTTCACAGGTTAGGATCCTGTGCGCAGATGTACCCTACACATCAGCCACACTGTGGCAGTGACCAACATACAAAATAGAGGAAGACTGGCCACAGATGTTAGCTCAGGGCAAATCTTCCTCAAGCAAAAAGAGAAAGATTGGTGACAGACGTCAGCTCAGGGCAAATCTTCCTCACCAAAAAAAAGGAAAGAAAGAAAAAGAAAATGTGGTGTATATATATCTATACATAATATATATATAGTGGAATTTATTCAGCCATGAACAAATAAGAATGTACAACTGAAATTTCACAATGTTATAAACTACTATGACCTCAATTTAAAAAAAGTGAATGGCAGAAAAGACGACAGCCAATAAAAGACATCAAAACAAATTTAGAAGACAGACAGCAAATGGACAAGTGATAAATGACTTAGGGTTCAGCCTTTTCAACTTTGCAAACACTTAAAAAGAGAGGAGCCTAGAAGCCAGCTGATTCACATCCACAAACCATTAGAAATGGGAAGCACCAGTTATTCCTGAAGCCACCACGCCATGGGGTAGAAATGAACACAGAACATTGTTGCAAGCCTCCATAAGCTGCAGTTACTTACATCCTCAGGTCATTGCTGCCAGCTCCCTCTCTGGCAAATGCCCCTCTCCATCCTGGAAAAGGGAAAGAGTTTACTAACTAGACAGGGTGACCCAAACAGACCTGAGATCATGAAAACCGGACACAACTCGGGGTCACGGTAAGATATTTTATGAAAAATTAGGAGATTAGGTGAAATATGCATAGCGGGCAGTGAGAGCTCACAGCTCCCTTTCTCTCTTCAGCTCCCAGAATACAGACTCCTGGGCTTAAGGTACTAAAAGCACCACGAGGAGACTAGAAGACTCCTTTCTAGGAAACCACCTGTTCACAAGAAAAGAGCTACAGATACCGGCATTTTTAAGGTTCCCCAATTAAATGGAAGGATACCACACATACAGAGCTTCTTCTCAGCTTTTTAGTGCCTCATTCTTAAATATGAACACATAGCCAAAGAGCATCAGACATGTGAGAAGAGCTTCTCTTGTGAAACTCACAGTCTCCTACAAACAAATGGGGCCAAACACTGAGAGAATACAAAGATAATCAAGGAAGGAGGGGAAAGCCACCTTCAAAACAAATATGACTTACATCCTCACAGAGTTAAAATAAGATATTACAAACATGACACAAGAAGAGTCTACTATAAAAGGGTATAGTCAAAGAACAAGAAATTAAAAACCCAAAAGCAGAAATGAAAATTCAATACAAAGGCTGCAATATAAAATTGAGGATGTATCCCAGAAAACAGAGCAAAAATATAAAAGAATGGATAATAGAAGAAATGCGGACTTTAAGGATGTCAACGCTACACCAAATGGATCTATAAGTCTAATCCAATTCCAGTCAAAATTACAGCAAGTTTTCTTGGTGGAATACAAGAAGCCAATCCTCAAACTCACATGGAAGAGTAAAAGGCTAAGAATAACTCTCCTCTTCCCCCCAAAATATTAAGAATACAGAGAGGGGAACTTGCCCTACCAGACACCAAGACTTACTCTAAAGCCATGATA